TACAAAGTACACACAGAAAAAAACAAGTACCCATAGAAAATAAAAGTAACCCATAGAAAATACAAAGTACCCATAGAAAATACAAAGTACACACAGAAAAAAACAAGTACCCATAGAAATAAAGTAACCCATAGAAAATACAAAGTACCCATAGAAATAAAGTACACACAGAAAAACAAGTACCCATAGAAAATAAAAGTAACCCATAGAAAATACAAAGTACCCATAGAAAATACAAAGTACCCATAGAAAATACAAAGTACCCATAGAAAATACAAAGTACCCATAGAAAATACAAAGTACCCATAGAAAATAAAAGTGGAATAAAAAATACTAAGTGTACCTATGGGCCTTCGTAAAAAAAAACCTCCACTTCTAATGTGATGACTGCTGCCTACCAAAAAAATGGAACACGCGTTCGGTTCCAATGACGTCACATCAAACATGATGATAGCTTAATGTACTTAGCATGTGGTATTGAACTGCGTTGACTTCAAGTTTTTTTTTATAATTTGAATTCCCAGTGCCAAGTACCCCCTAAATATCCCCCTACTCCCACATGTGTGTGTGTATGTATGTGTGTTATATATAGTGGATGCTGCTAAAATGATGACTGCACTCGACCACGGCTTGGGCCAGACTGATCCAGGGACACGAGGTCCCTGTCCTTTATTGAGACCAGATGTGACACAAGTCCAACCCCCTACATGTGTATATATGTGTGTGTATGTGTGTGCGCGTGTGTTTATGTGTGCGCGTGTGCGTGTCTGTATGTGTGGACTTGTGTGATTCATTCATCTTTTGGGACTATCATGTGTATCCGAATCGGATTCTGGCTTTCCTCCAACAAGCCGCCAAAATCTTGGCTCGGTGTTCTTGAACCCTCTTTCTTTGACCCTTGGTTTCCAGGTTCAAGTTGACATTCCAAGGCAGATCTACATACAATGCGTCATTGACATCGTGCAGACATGGCAGCCAAACGCGGTATGGTTAACGTTCTCACGGTAAGTTGATGAGTTTTCTACCCGGATTTCGTTGAATACAGCCGCAGCAAAAAGAAGCTCCGAACATTTGCAGCAGAGGCTTTTTTTCGGGGCTTTGTCTATCTTAGAGTCGTACTATGAACATGAACGTGAACAACAACCACTAGCACAGACAAGGTCACGCCTTTGCGGGCTCCTAAAACGCAGTGATTGTAAAGTGGGACAGCAGTAGTTTTCCCAATCTACTTCACATGGATCCATGGATCCATCTACGACTCGGTGCTGTTGTTTAGTCTCCACCAGACTTCTTTGCGGGGTGAATAGATCGTAGAAATCGGCCGTAGAAATCGGCGGGGCAGTGGAGCTTCTCTGGCCGGCTACCTTCTCTGGCCAATTAATACCCTTTTTAGGCCGATTTCTACGATTTATACACCCCTCAAAGAAGTCTGGTGGAGACTACTGTTGTTGGGGTTGAGAAGAGAAAGGGAATTGGCTACGTTTGGTCTGAGCGTGGCTGGCAGACCCCAGTGCTTAGAACAGAGAGAGCTAGCACTTCTTTTTACTGAACCTGTTGTCGACCGACTCTGACCGGTTGCCAAACTTGTGACGCCCCGTGTGCCAACCCTGGGATCAGGGAGTGTGGCTTCCCCCAACCGAATGGCCCGTATCTTGTCGTGTTGGGGTCTGAATCAACCCGTTTGAACTTGTAGTAAAATTGTGAGCTAAAACGTTACTAGTTTACAGCAGCTTAATTCATGGCTTTGGCCCCACCCCATACTCTGAGCTTTTGTCCCAGGCATGGGTGTGCGTTTGCACAAGATATCAGGTTTCCGTGACGTAGTATATCAGTTGTCAACAAACATGCATTGATACTAGAAAGGTAACATTTGCAGAGCAAATGCATAATGTCAACCTTCCCGTGGACTATCCAAGGACGTCCTTGGTCTAGCCTAACAAACTACTGTTATGTTTATTGTTACTCAAACACATTAATAATTATAATACATGGTGAGCAGCCTCTTCAACTCTATAATGTAATGATATCCAGTCCAGGTCACTGACTTGATTTGTTTGGAGAAGAAGAAGAGGAGTAAGAAGATGAAGAAACAAAAAAAGGTAAACAGAACTAGTAGCCTGGTTGCCAGACCATTGTAGGCTCCCCGGTATCTCTACGGTGTTGAGAGTGCTGCCCACCCGCCCAGGTCCTAATATTAGCACGCGCCAAGGGTTTACAATATTACCAAGGAGTTGCTTTGCAATAATATTTGAATTCTTTCCGTCTTTTGCACACTTCTACTGTAAATATAACCGTTTCACTGAACACGTAGTATACAGCTGAATTGCTGTTTTGGATTGGATCTGACTGCAGCTGGTGTTCTTGACAATGGCCTGTCCTCATTGTCGGGAATGTTGGGCTTGTTGCCAGAACGTTAACCCAGCTGCTGGTCCCGTCGGCCGAGACTCCCCTGCACGCCTAGCATCCTATGCAGGCCTCCGAGCTGGCAGATTTTTAATACTGGGTTTTTGTAGAATTGTTAATGCGATCTTTTGCCTGCCATCCCACATCCAACTAACCAGCCATCGTATGATACCCGCATGTGTATGGTTATATAATCATAGTGGTGTGGCTCTCCCCAAACAAGGGACGCCCCTAACCGAAGCTAGGTACTCATTTCCACCTGACAGATGTGAGACAGTGAGAAAAGTCATTTCAAGTGCCTTTGCGAAGGGCACAAGGTCGGTGACATATTGCAGGATTCGAACCCCGGATCTCCTGGTTCTGAGCCGAACACGCTTCCGTTGCTACCACAATATATTGATGTCTTCTACGATGAACTATTATAGTATAATGTATTTATATTCGCACATTATACAGATACTGTTAGGAGTCCTTCTTGGTTGTTTGGGACGATCTGACGATGACCCTCGCCTGATTGATCTGACCTGGACGCTGAAGGGAGGGATCCCTGTTCACCCCATCTACCCTAACTACACATTCACCATCATCAGCAGGTAAGCAGCAGTCTCCATCGGCGTAACGTTATCTGTGTACAATCCATCTGTTGTGACTTGTACTAACCCTGTGGGCAGGTGTGTGTACAATAAAAGGTCTTCATTCATCGTTAAAACAGGGGCGACCATCCTCTCGGCATTTACTTGGAGACCAATGAGATCTACATGAGCGAGCACACTGGGACCCACCTAGACGCACCCGCGCATTTCGCAAGAGGAGCCTGGAGACGTGAGTTGTGCTACGTTTTATAGCCTAGGTATCATCCGCATTTGGCTCCGCAACGCTCGATAGACTCAATCAACGCATCATTGATTTTTTCGAGTGTTGTGGAGCCCAAATCAGGATGGTATCCAGGCTAACGTTTTAAAAAGTTTCATACAAAATCGTCTTTTGACATGTGCGACTTCACTGTTTTGCGTGTTTGTGCTTGTGTGTTCGTACATTGCAGTTAGAATTAAAGTTCAAAAGACTAAACCTTTCCTTCCAACACTGGAATGAATTGTGCCATACCATAATGTCGATTATCTAACGAGACAAGTAACATTTGCAAAGCAAATGCATAATGTTTACCTTCGGACATGGTCTGCTCTGTTCATTCTTACTCAAACACATTCAAATACATGTACTACTAGTAGATGGTGAGAGGGGCAGAGCAGACCATGAAATTGCAACATTATGTAACACAACACCAGTCACCATNTATATCATACCCGGGCGCGATAACGTTCGATAACGGGTTCCGGACCGGGCCGTACGTTACGGTACGGCCCGGTCCGGAACCCGTTATCGAACGCTTCCATCGCTTCCATAAAACGATTCGAACGCGTTTCGTCCTAACCGCGTGCGCCCCTTTCGAAAATTCGAATACAGAATCCGGACGTTGGAACTGATGTTGTTGCATTTGAGGGTTTAGGGGCACCAACTTTTGGCTCATCTTGCATTGAAAGGCGCGTTTTCTTGGGTGGGTATGATATAAATAAAATACAACACGGTGTATTCCGCATCGCCCTCGGTCCCGGCCCTCCCGCGAGTCGGATCGCCCTCCGGCCTGCGGCCGTCGGGCGATCCGACCCGCGGTCGGGCCGATACCTCGGGCGATACGGAATACCCCGTGTTGTATTCTATATGTACTGGGTAACGTTAGTACTAGTCACTAGTAGTTATACATAGCCAAAGACATTATACTAGCGTATAATGTCCTTGTAATAACATACAAGGTAAAAATGTGTAGCATATACATTTTAAAACAACATTTGAACAACTCATTATTATGTCATATTCTACTTCTAGATCTGTTCACAAAATGGAACACGCGTTCGGTTCGAGTGACGTCATATCGAACACGATCGAACCTGATTTTGGGGACGAAAATTCCTTGACTTTTTTTACTATCGAAATCACATGATATGGTGGTCGCTACGTTGATGATAGCTTAGTGCACGCACCCTTTTTCATTTTCATGTACCAGGACAATGTCTATGACGATTTCCAAGCAGATCCTAGGGTTTAATGCCTATGCAACGTCCAGTCCGTACAGGTTGGGGCGAGCAGTTCTGGGAGGAAGGACCGGCGGCGTATCTCGGTACGGACCACACGAGGAACGCCTCCTTGCTGCACTCGCCGGGACTGCACCCCGCCGCCGCCCAGTGGATCGTGGACAACCGGGACGTGAAGGCGGTCGGGATTGACACCCTCTCGGCGGATCCTGGAGATTCGACGGTAAATCTTCATTTTCCTGTTAAACTTATCCTATTTTCATGTTTACCGAAAACACATTGTTTTTGCTACGTTTCCTCGTCTTCTTCTCCAAACAGTGACCTCTGCCGCATGCTGAGACAGACTGAACAGCCTCAACACTTCCGGGTGTTGGGTTACATAATGTTGCAATTTAATAGCAGGAGGGATTTAGACTCCTGTCTGACCATATGAATGTGCGAAGGTAAACATTATGCATTTGCTTTGCATATGATCAATGACCTGGACCAGATGGCTGTAACCATAGCATAGGTGACTGGTGCTGTAGCAGACACGCTGTGGTGTTGGGTACATTAGTCATTATGTAGCAGGCAGAGTTGGAGGGGCTGCTTACCATACATATGAATGTGTTTTTACAGAACGGTAGTGATGCGTTTGATTTGCAAATGCTGCCTTATTTTGGAATCCCGAGCTCTGTCCTTTCCTTCGTCTTCCTCACATTAACAACCTCTCCCTGTCACCCCATCTAGACGTATGAAACTCACCTGATCCTCCTGCCCAACAACGTCCTCATCCTAGAGAACGTTGCCCACCTGGACGAGATGCCCCCTACCGGATCCACCGTGTACGCCATGCCCATCAAGATCGGTGACGGAAGCGGAGCTCCCTCTCGAATTTTCGCAATCGTGGATGGCCGAACCAGCGCAGCAGGGCCGACAACACCAAACATGGCCGTCATCTTTTCATCAATGACTGCACTTATCGGTGTCTTCCTGACTTTTGCATGAAAGCATACTTTCATGAAAATAGTTTAATGGAAAGAAAGGTGCACGTGGATGGAAAAATCCAAATGTTATCAAATTTTTC